ATTAGAATGCAATTTGTGGTAATTCGTACGCTCGCCTGAGGTAAAGACAGCAAAAATTACGTTTGGCAGTAGTGTCGGATTTTCCAAGAGATGGCACTTCAATAAGTTAGATAAGGACATTCCACGTGTTTGAGCGAGACAGAAGATATTGTAAGAAGTTAATTCATTTAGAGATACCACTGACACTGAAGAGTCTGCTTTATCGACCTCGTACAAATTTTTCCGACTTTCCAGCATCGCCTTAACAAGAAGTAGGGATCATTTGAACACCATCTTCAAACTCGACAACAAAATATAATTCTTCCTTGATAATTCAAAGAAGAAAGATCGATATACGTCGTAAATTATGTATGCAGTAATGAAAAAACTGCAAACTTATTATTGTCTAATGGTAGTTCAACATATTTTGTCTTAATAATTTCTATTGGTCATATCTTCAATTCTGATAAGATATATACATTAAATATACCTATAAGAGATGAAAGACAAAGATTATCATATAAATTCTCTTTATAACAAAATTGATTGCCAATAATGATTGATGTTGAGTTCTTTATGATAAACTATATTTTTTACTTCAACAATGCTGCCATCTAGCTGCTAAACCACAACAATTATCTGCCAATGTATCAATGCGTATAGTTGTATTTGAGCATCTTATTATTTTATACTGCGGAATACAACAATTATTTATTAAGAGGAATCTTCAATAGGAATAGATTTAAAGTCTATATTAAAATCTGATAATTTTAGTTCAAGACAATTTTCTGTTTCGTTAATATTACATACTTCGTTCATATTCAATGTATTTCTGAACAATTTGTTGTAGTGGTTTATCATGCTTTTTTAATAACTTTTTTAACGTTTGTAAATAATTTTCATATTTGAAAGAACTAAAACCATCTAATTGGCCAAACTTTTTAACATCTTGTACCAAATGAATCAGTCCATATATGTACATTGTGAGAAATATTGTGGATACCATTTTATCATATAACAAAGCAAATACAAAATATTGAAGCAATTCTTGGGCATAATCTATGCTATGTTAAAACAGCGAGCATGAAATTCTAATTGTCACATATAAAGTTAAAAATATGATCATATAAATTTTTTTGAAGAAACGGTTTTAAACCTACAAGACCAATATACAGGGTGTCCCAAAACTCGCGGATTTCCTTTTAAGTGCGGATTCTTTAGAATATTCTAAGACGAAAATCCTAATATGAAAATGTCGAGACTATAATAGTTTTTAAATTAGTAGCGATTAAAGTAGGCTAATCACAGAGCTGAAATTTCGCGCGCTCAGGCATGATGATATGACAAATGCTAGAGGTGCTACGAGAGCTCTCTTAACAACACCGAGATTATCATTATTTTTCCTAAGAAATTACTTTTTCTTTTATACGAAATCTATTTGTACACTAAATAATTAATAATACAATTACGATCGATATTACGTCAACTGTCAAAATGAATTTATAACCATTTGTTCATTTACCTCGTATGCTGAATATTTTTATAATACCGATTTTTTTGGGCAAAAAATTCTATTTAGCGACTAATCATATTTCGCATACACGTGAAAAGGATCATTTAATTTCCACAATTTGCGTATTTGAAGCAATGAAAAAATCTTGGAATTTATAATAATATCAAACATTATCAACATCGATTTAGTATACAATTATAAACAGGTATTCGATTTAATAGTAATTTCATTTTTGTACTGTTCTCTTTAAAATAATATTACAAGCATACACGTGTGCAAATAATACTTTTAATATAAAATTTCGGATAAGCTTTTTCGAAATACTTGTAAAGCTTGATA